GGGGAGGGCGGGGGAGGCAAAAAAATTTTCGGACCTCATAACATATTTTCTACTTGATATTTTTAATACACGTGCCAGTTTTCTTTCATCTTTCCTGAATTTTTTCTCTAAATTTGGGGGGGGGGGCTTACCCTACTTTTATTTATTGGGGACTATAGACGGCTAGACTTGCTCCAAGTCTCTCTTTCACTGTCATATAGTATCGGTCCACTATATTAAAGCAAGTTTTACATTTTCGTTTCATTTTTGAACCCAGAAGTCTCTCTTTCTCGGTCCGCCTCTCCGTGCTGCGTCATGTAATGTACACTATAGTTGATCGATATGACAATGAACAATGAAAGAGAGACTTGGAGCAAGTCTAATAGCCGCCTTGCGACCGCTAACCAGGAATCGCACGGCAGCAGGTTCGATTCCTGCTAGAGGGACCCATAGTTTCATTTTTCGCAACTGCTCCTGGTCTTATTTAATAAATGTGTCAAAAATCCACTAGATATTTCGATCTATAAATCCCTTCAAGAAAATTCTTCCCAGTATATCTAGGGTTTGTCACATTTATCTTCAGAGCAGTCAACCATGTAACGTTTCTCAGGCGGATCTTCAATCGAGTCTTCTATCACACCATTCGAAATTTCACTAGATGTAGTTATATCTTTTGCACAGCTTCCCAAGGGTATTTGATTTCTACGCCGTCTTCGACGTGGTTTCCCCATCAGGTTTTCTTCTTCCAGACCTAACTGTTTACATTCTGCTAGTACTGGAAGTAGAAAAATAATTATCAATGCAGGATCTATCAGTTCTAAGCTGTTTACCCTCAGAGGTCCAGTAAGGATGATCTCTTATTAGAGAGTTTAAGCTTCGCGTTATACGGCAAACGGCAAACGCCAGGCAAAGAAAAATGTTACGGTATCAGGTAATAAAGAGTAAATGAACTTGCTGTTTTAAAACTGCAATGCGTGACTATTCTTTCGACACAAGAAAGAAAATTCGGGGTTCGAACCTGCCGTTTCCGGAAACGCGAAGCTTAAACTCCCTAATGATCCAGTGTTACTGCAGGAGGAAAACTAAACTAACTTTATTTATACTGGATAGCTCTATCAGTTCTAAACTGTTCTTCCTAGAGGACCAGTAAGGATCATCTCTTATTAATCCAGTGTTACTACAGGAGGGAACCTAAACTAAACTAACTTTATTTATACTGGATAGCTCTATCAGTTCTAAGCTGTTCTCCCTAGAGGTCCAGTAAGGATCATCTCTTATTAATCCAGTGTTACTACAGGAGGGAACCTAAACTAAACTAACTTTATTTATACTGGATAGCTCTATCAGTTCTAAACTGTTCTTCCTAGAGGTCCAGTAAGGATCATCTCTTAGTGATCCAGTGTTACTACAGGAGGAAACCTAAACTAAACTAACTTTATTTATACTGGATAGCTCTATCAGTTCTAAACTGTTCTCCCTAGAGTTCCAGTAAGAGTCATCTCTTAGTGATCCAGTGTTAGAGAAATCTGTGGTGTTTGTCAAATTGACACAGGGAATTTCAGCGGTGTTCGACTACTAGGTCAGTTGAAAGCAATAACATAGCTACATCATTTATCAAAGTAGCCCATGATCTCACCTTCATCACTTGGAGCAGAATACGAAACAGTTGCATTAGAAAACATTGAAGTTGATTTTTGTTCCTTGAATAAAACAGGGATTTCTTCATCTTGAAAATTTTCATCAGATCTCAGGCTTTCTTTCACCGTCGTGTTCGTCTCATTTTTACCTCGCGTATATTGTCGTAAACTGCATGAAACCATAAATAAAATCCATACTGTAAACAAGTTAGTTTCAGCATGGATGGTAAAAAAAGTATAGTATTTTTATGATCCATGGTTTCAACAAAAGCCATTAGAGTCGAGGAGAATTGAGAAGCAAAAGTTTGCATCAAATGAGAGCTTTTTTCAATTCTCAGTCAAACGAGAACAAGAGTTGCAAGAGAGTGATAATGGTATGAGGGCATTTTTTGACAAGATAACTACTGGGACATTTACCCCAGTAGGCCCTTTGGTTTCCCCAGTAGTGAAGCATGATTTTTAGATGAGCTGGGCCCTTTCGATCATTAATAAAAAGTCACCGTTGTTGAAAAAGATGCATCTGCCTGCTTTCTCATGCACGTCCTCTCACATTCTCGATATTCCATCTTATTAAAGTCAGCACAGCATGGTCTTTATGTACGCGTAATTGTGTGGGGAAAGGCCCTCATTGAGACTTACGCCCGTATTCTAAAAGCTCACTCACACTCACACTCAATGAGTGGCGGTTCAATCTGAGCTTTTCTTGAGTGTCAATGCTGTTTTTGAATAGCTGGAGGGTGAGCAGTCACATAGTAAGGTATGACACTAACCCTCCAGCTATTCAAAAACAGCAATGACACTCGAAAGAAGCTCAGATTGAACTTTCACTTATTGTGTGTGAGTGAGCTTAGTAGACCCCAATAGTTGTAATTTCTTAAAAAAATGCCCTGTAAGAGTTCGATATATATCACCAGATATTACCAGTCAAACGAGAAAAAACTCTCATCAAAATCTGAACCTTCTGAACTCATGCCATAGAAGTGGTAAAGGACATCTGTGATCTGTGACAACTGAATGGTACCCTTTTGTAAAGTTTTTGGCCAAGGTTGGGTATTTATTTCTTAATTGATATTTGAGGTTGGGAAATTTTTTTTGGACTTTTTAACGCCAAGAAAAACATTTCTCTTCGGTGCCACTCCCGCCCAAAATAATGACCAAAGTCTCTAAAGTAAAGTAGAGTCTCTAAAGTAGAAAAAGTCTCTAAAGTAAAATAAATTGAGTTCACTGGTTCACTCATAAATATCTTATATATACTAGATAGTGCATCTAACTATTCCGCAATTCAAAAATTGAAATCGTGATTGCAGACTCAGGATATTCCCATGAAATGAGAAGACTCGTATGTTTTCTATTTCTTAAACAGGGGACTTAAACATTAAGTTAAACCTATTCCAAATACATTTTCAAACTATTCAAATGACGAAAGTTATTCTTGTTTTTTAAGCGTTTATTAGCGAGTGGAAAACTCCAACATGGCCGCCATCTATTCAAATGGGGGATAACCGCTGGAATATTCTTGGCTTCAATTTTACTAAAAGCGATGCGCTATCTAGTGTATATAAGATATCTATGGGTTCACTGATATTTGTGTGTCCAATACACAGACTCTTGTACGCTGTACCTTTCCTGCGCGTCCTTTATTGTGTACAGTCCAGCAGGTTCCACGGTGGGGTAGACATTAATGGGACGAAGATAACTCACTAAATCTATTATCTAAAAGTAGAATTAAAATACATTCGAAATGTACTTTTTGTGTGTGTCAAGTCTCTAGTAGTCCCTCGTAGCTCAGTTGGCATGCAGAGCATTGGACTGATATCTCAAAGGATAAGCTTGGAAGAAAGGCGAAAACATAATATGGCCCGTCTCATGTTTAAGGTTGTCAATAATTTGGCACCATCGAGGTTCTCATCAATGTTCCAGAATTCTAACCATATCCACAGTTTATATAATTTACGAGGTTCGAATTCGTCTCTCTTTCTGCCACGACCAAATACGGAGTATGGCAGAAAATGTTTTCGATATAGTGGGGTTAAAATCTGGAATAGCATTCCTGAACAAGTAAGAAACAGCAAATCTTTAAATTCTTTCAATAGAAATATTTCCTCTGTTAGTCTGACGAATTAGCTATTTGAGTTTTGTATACCATTTATTTTGTAATATGTATTTGTATTCGTATTTCTTAATATTCTTAGTGATTTTGTATTTTATATATTTTTGTAACATTTATCTACGCCCCACTTGGAAAGCAGCTATGGTTGAAGTGGCCAGCGTAGTCAAATAAAGTTTTATCCTATCCTATCCTCAAAAGTCGCGCGTTCGATAGTGTAAACGCCTTTAAGGCAGGACTTGATGATCTAAAAAGTTATAACCCGGATTCTCGTCACGGATATTGGTATTTATCGCAAGAAATCTTTAACAGAATTCCGGATAAGAATGACCATGTTACTTATCTTAAATTGCATCCAGAGGTTGCTATGCGAAGACATATTTCTTGTTTCTAATTTTTAATAATTGTAATATATATTACTGTAAGATTTATATTTCTGTAATTTTCTTAGATGCATGAGTTGCCCAGAGAGGCATAATTAAATCTTATCTTATCGATTCCCACCGTGGTCAGGCAAACTTTTCAGCCTGCCCGGTGTGGATGCATATACTCAGAGTAACATCACAAACAACATTCGAAATATGTTCGTAGGTTCTATCATCGTTGTTTGTGTGTTTTTAAGTATTTCATCGACACGTATTTGCGATGAAAAGTGTTCATAACCTAGAATCTTTTTGGGGTTCCTCTTAAAATTGTTTTAGCTTTATTTTGTAGTTTATACAGTTAGCAGCCTTTTTAAATGTATCTGGCGGTTTAGAAACACAAAATAATAGTTAAATATTGTCAATTTAACGTTGAAGTGAGGCCAAAAGCTACTGTTAAAAGTAAAGTAAAATTATAGGCGGAAACTTTTATATTTAAACTTTTTATATTCTCATAGTTTTGAAATAAAAGTTTCCGCCTAATTTTACTTTACTTTTAACAGTAGCTTTTGGCCTCACTTGAACCAACAACATTTACATAATGCTACTGAAGGACAACTTTGTACGTTATTGTCAATTATTGTACGTTATTGTCAATTTAAATACAATTAACATTGATGCTGTAAAATTGACGCCATATTTATACAGCAATATGAGCAAAACTTACTGAACTTCAGACATCATTTTCTCTTTGGCGTACCATCTAAGATCTCTTCATTTTAGCATAATTTTATAGATAAAGGACTATACATACTTTTTAAGTTTGTTTGCCGCCTTGAGAAACGTACCAAACTTTTTAAAAAATTGAATTTAGTCCTAACCAAATAGAAAATTATACTAATTAGTTTTGAGCGCGTGTTACGTAACATACAAAAGATACATAATGGATCATTTGCATTATAGACTAAATTTTGATCTAGACAAGCCTAGACAAAAATTTCATCACAGCTTGAAAGAACATCACAAAATTAGTAATATTCCAAAGTTTCGTTGCGAAATGTTGTAAAATGCGGATAATATAGCCTTGCGAAGTTTGCAATTTTCAGTCATTTTTGTATTACAAACGGGAAACTGATGCCCCAACACCCGATTGGGCTGTCAATTTCCCGTTTGTAATACAAAATGACTGAAAAACGGCAAATTTGGCAAGGCTATATTATCCGCATTTTACAACATTTCGCAACGAAACTTTGGAATATTACTAATTTTGTGATGCTCTTTCAAGCTGTGATGAAATTTTTGTCTAGATCAAAATTTAGTCTATAATGCAAATGGTCCATTGACATACGTTTTTCTTATGATGGGGCGAAATTGTGGAATTCCGTACCCCCAGATTTGTGTGATTCGGATTCATTGCTGATATTTAGAAATGGAATTACTGCTCACAATTTCACGTAATTTATTGTAAATATAGTTATTATAGCCATACTAATAGGTTGATTTTTGTAAATATTCTTGTAAATATTTTTATATTGATGTAATGAACACGCCCCTTGTGGAAATCAGCGAAAGTTGACGAGGCTAGCGTGTTGTTTTAAATAAAGTTTACCTACCTACCTACACTAATTGACATAATCTAAATTAATTCTGTCAGGACCTTTCTGAAAATCACTTTCTGTGAGAAAGCTTCCCGACTGTTCATAAAAGTCTTACTCATTATTATGGTTCAGCGAATTAAAGTCTTTTGATACAAAGTACAATCTAACATATGTTAATGCCTTGAAAAACGTTTTTTACTTCCTTCCTTAAAATTGGATTTTTCCAAAAGAAGACAAGGGAATTCAAGGACGAAGCACTCAATGCAAGTGTAATACTCCACAACGCGAATATTGTCGAAATTATATTACTTGTCGGCAAAGAATGAGTGAAAGCAAACGGTACATTGCATATAAAAGCTATGGAAACAACACAAGCACACGATTTAGCCATTTTGATATTTTGCAACTCTTTTGTTTGATTCGTCCGTCCTACTGATACCCGCACCTCCGTACCACGTCCCTCCCTTTCCCGCGTTTCCGCTACCCGCGGCCGCCTTCGTATTGCGATGCATATTCTAACGTAAATATACAGCGTGACGAAAGCGACGAAAACAAGTACGATACTAATCGTTGTATTAATAATTTTACCAAAAGCCAATTGGGATAAGCGCAGTGTTACAATGAAGAACCAAAACCCTACGACCATTTTCAGTAATCTTGATTTGGTGACTTTCGTACGGTGATAAAACGGATACAAGATGGATAAATAGCGTTCAATGTTTAGTCCAAAAAGAGTCATAATGCTCATAGCAGCCGTGTAGAACGCTAAAAATTGAAATGCAATCGAGATTTCACATTTTGGATGTCCGATTATCTCCATAGCAAGAACTAGTATGAAGCTTGTATTGCCAAACACCCCGACCAAAAGATCATTAACAGATAACAACATGATTAAGAAATACGACTTCTTGCTTTGAAGCTGTGTAGATCTTATGTAAGCCAGAATTGTGACTGAATTCAAAAATATTGTTAATACTGTCAAGAGAATATTACAAATCAATACGCTAATGTAGTTTATGTAATACACGTTGGATGGGAAGCCAGTGATCATTCGTAATTTATCTGTGTAAAAATAACATGTTTCCCAAAATTTGTCGCCATCATCGGGCTCGCTCGAGTTATCCATTTTGCACGGTTGAATTCTAGAGTGGAAAATATTAATTACAGTTGCGCATTGGTGACAAAAATATATATCGGTCAATTAAGTTTTAATTAAGTTCTTATATTTTATTACGAGTTACATAAACTAAAATGTTTCTAGAAATTAATATTTGAGAGATATAAATTAAAATGTGCCATGATCAATGATCATTTTCAGCCTGCGTCGCTGTTGATATCTTACGTTTGTTAATCATTTTTTAAATTATTTTATAAATAATATATTAACAATTAATCAGTAAAATTAAAAGAAAATGAGTAACAACTTACGTTGCGACAACAGAAATTTGGGAGAAGCATCTGCTAGGGCTACCATTATCAATAAAGTTAGTTTTGTTTAGGTTTCCTCCTGTAGTAACACTGGATCAATAAGAGATTATCCTTACTGGACCTCTAGGAAGAACAGTTTAGAACTGATAGAGCTCGAGCTATCCAGTATAAATAAAGTTAGTTTAGGTTTTCGCCGATAGTAAAATTGGACCAATTAGAGATGATCCTAACTGGATCTCTAGAAAGAACAGTTTAGAACTGATAGAGCTATCCATGCAGTATAAATAAAGTTAGTTTATGTCAACCACCCCACAACTTCTAATCTCTTCATTCCATAATGTATCTGACCAGCTCTCCTTCATCTCTTCTTATTACGTGTCCATACCATCTCAACCTTGCTTCCCTCACCTTCTCTGCAATGTCTACCACCCCACATCTTCTTCTGATCTCTTCATTCCATAATGTATCTGACCAGCTCTCCTTCATCTCTTGTATTTCAAGTGCTCAATTGTATAAATTTCAGACTGCTGGTTCTGCTAATTTACCAGTTTTTAACAACTGCTGTATATAATATCTATGAAATTAATTATTTTTTCGAAAGATTTTCTTGACTTCATTTCTAAATACTGGATTGCTTAAAAAGAACACAATATTGTTCACGGAGGAAGCGGCTAGGGCGAACGTAACGCTCCACATTCCAAAACCCGACGTCTGAAAATACTGTCGCTGGTACGACCTTGCCACCGCATACGGTAAATAACAAACCACAGTACATATCACAACAATAGCGCACGATTTGGCCAGGTTCATATTCTGACTAGTTCGAGTCTGTTGTATGCGATTCCGCCGTATTTCCTCAGACGAAACGCGGGCTGTTCTTCTAGCTGTTATGAATATTGAAATGTATATATAGCAAGTGGCCAAGATTATGGAATACATTATAAAACTGGTTAGCTTTGTAGCAGCTTCGCCCAAAGTTGGATAAGCAATGGTTAGCCCAGTCGATACTAACCAGAGTATCACAGCACAACGCAATAGTTTGGATTTGTTCACCTTCGTTCTGTGGTATATCGGGTAGACAATACTGAGATAGCGTTCAACGTTTAGCGTAAACAGAGTCATAAACGATATTGCGGCTGTTGGGAACGCTAGCAAATCAACTAAAATATACAAGATGCATTTAGATTTGCCATTTAAAGTTAGCACCAAAGTCAGGGCGTAGATCGCGTTTCCGAGAATTCCTACAAGAAGATCGTTCACAGACAGCAACATTATGAGAAAGTACGAACTCTTCCGTCGCAGCTGCGGTGATTTCCAATAAGCGATGACTGTCAAACTGTTTAGAAATGTCGTTGATATTGTCAGCAGAATATTCACTGCACTTCCCAGAGCAAAATTTACATAATATGCCTGCGAGGGAAACGAAATAAGAATGCGCATTTCGACTTTGCCAAACGAACATAGTTTACTGCTGTTTAAAACGTTGACGCCATCCATTTTTCGTGGATTTTTTACACCGACGCAATTAAGGCAGACGTATTTGGGCAAATATAAATATGCCTGTCAATTATATATATCGCGTATATCAATAACTTTAAAAAAACTGTCATGGATTAAAAAAAGTTCGGCAACAACATTTATATATTCCCTGCAGCTGTTGCTATCCAAAGCGTCGTATATCTCGTGACTTAACTGCCGCAACCACACGGAATTTTCGTTATAGACTAATTTGAGTATGAAGATGTCAATTCTCAGATCCATTTTACCACATGCAACGATGAAAAATTGATATAGCTGGCCTGAAGGGCATGTAGTAAAACACTGACTACCGGAACACCACCGGAACAGCGGAACACCACCATTTTGTTTGGGGTTAGGGTTTGAGGTTAGGGTTAGGGTTGGGGGTTAGGGTTAGGTGGTATTCCGGTGTTCCGGTGGTGTTCCGGCGGTGTTCCGGTGGTGTTCCGGTGGTGTTCCGGTGTTCCGGTAGTCAGTGTTTTACTACATGCCGGCCTGAAGAAGGTTTAAATTTGGCTTGAGTCACCTCTATAATAATAAGCTTTAATCGGACTAAAATTTACAAAACTATACGTTAAGACAAAAATAGTAGACATTACAAACAGCAAAAGGCGAATTAGACAAGGGGGCTCGAAGTCCCAACAGGGCAAACTTGAAACCCCGCACTTTAATTACAAATAATTTTGCACTACGACAACAGAAAATACACATAAACGTTCTCTAAATATACTATACTGAGCAGCATACGCCATTTTCGTCGTCAAACTCTAATTTCGGGCTCTGACTAGGACCTAATGACAGGAAATAGGTTCGTAATTTTAGTTTTATACCTGTTTTCAAAACTATACGCGACCTACCCGAAAATAATTTCAGTTCAAATGTCTACAAATCAGACAGTACTTGTCTTCAAATTTATTTAATCACGACAACCTATCAACTATTGCATTGTCTTTCATAGAAGTTTGCTTCGACTGTAAACAGTGAATTACACAAAGCGACGCGTTGTTAATAGCAAAATCTGAGAATAAAGTAAATCGTAGTAAACAGTAAATTATATGCTTGTGATGTTACTCAGAGTGTATATCCACACCGGGCAGGCTTGAAAAATATGCCTGGCCACGGTGGGAATCGAACCTACGACCTTTGGAGTTTGGAATACTAGCCCAATGCTCTGCCAACTGAGCTACGCGGTCTGGTCGGTTCGACTATGTGATATTTCGGAACAGAAATCTAGTTCCTTCGATATCAATGTAATCTAATAATCATGATATCAGTAAATTATATATATTATCAGTAAATTATATAACGCGACGTTGTTAATAGCAAGATCTCGGGGAATAAAGTAGGTCGTTCGCAACTTGCCTCAATCGCTGACTACAAAACAAAGTCTGTCGAAGTATTCAGTGTATAATGTTGCCCAGATTTCATTTACTGCATGCCTATTCTGCATTTTCAATATTTGTACAGAGGTTAGTTTTCACAACATTTGTCTATTTAACTCTATATAAGAATACCATGCACACTACTGCCACTAGGAACAAACGAAAATGCAGAATAGGCAGTAACTTACACCAGCCAAACATTACACTAAATCTTTCGATAAACTTGTTTTGCAATACAATACAATACAATACAATACAATACAATACAACTTTATTTGAATAATACACATGACAAAATACAAGATTCAAATCCTGCAATAGCAAGCTAATCGCGGCAGGAAATGAATCTAATTAAATAATATTATATATATACAACTGATTTATATTGAGAAGAAGTAAAATGAATTATTTACAGAACGAGAGTTTAGAGTCCGATTGGCTATGATAATTTTTAAATGAAAAATATTATTCATGACACAAATATATTCTTTTTGAAAGCAATTAGAAAGTTATGATGAGCTGAAAATTATATCGCGGTTACATTGGGCAGCATTTGCAGGCAGCAATTGAGGCAAGTTTCAAACGAACCGTATTCTCTGATTTTGTGATTTACAGCATCGCGTAATATAATTTACTGTTTACTGCAGAAGCCATATTTCAACGGGTTATGCATCGATGAAAGAAAGTAGAATAATCGTGTCCGTAATTTCTAGCCATGCGCCACTTTGAAATTCCTGGAATTTTTAAGGCTAAAATACTGGAATTACACTAATGTCTTCTTAACAGAATCTCAGCTAAACTTTGATCATTTGCAATGTAGATAAATACATCATATTTATTCTGACATGCTTTGAATTTAATAACACGCACCAGCTGCCCAGAATATCCGTATAATAAACTCCAATCTTCATCAAAGCAATGTTTGTATTCAAATTTCCTTTAATATTTTTATTAAATATATATTCTAGATAGGCTTATTCGTTATTTAATTGGCAAGATGCGTATGATCTTGTACCGTGCGTCATTCAACATCCAGAAAAAAATGGAGGACGCCAATTTTATGAACAACAGCAAACTCTGTTCCTTCTACGAAGTCCATTTGAGGATCATCGTTGTGTTTCCTTCCCGAGCATATTATGTAAATTATGCAATCGGGTGTGCATTGAACATAATCCTGACAATTTCAGCGATATTTCTAAACAGTTTGACAGTCATCGCTTATTGGAAATCACCGCAGCTCCGACGAAAGAGTTCGTATTTTCTCATAATGTTGCTTTCTGTGAACGATCTTCTTGTAGGAATTTTTGGAAATGCGAACCACGCCCTAACGTTGGCGTTGACTTTAAACGGTAATTCGAAATGCGTCCGGTACATTTTAGTGGATTTGCTGGCGTTCCCAACAGCCGCGATATCGTTTATGTCTCTATTTACGCTGAACGTTGAACGCTATCTCAGTATTGTCTATCCGATATATTACAGAACGAAGGTGAACAAATCCAGATTATTGCGTTGCGCTGTGATACTCTGGTTAGTATCAATTGGGCTAACTGTTGCTTATCCAACTTTGGGTGAAGTTACTACAAAGCTAACCAGTTTTATAATGTATTCCATAATCTTGGCTACTTGCTATATATACGTTTTAATATTCATAACGGCCAGAAGAACGGCCCGCGTTTCGCCTGGGGAAATACGGCGGAATCGTACACAGCAGAGTCAAAATAATCAGAATACGAACCTGGCCAAGTCGTGTGCTATTGTTGTGATATGTACTGTGATTTGTTATTTGCCGTTTGCTCTGGTTAGGTCGCAACAGCAAGAGGATTTTCAGACGTTGGTTTTTGCAATGTGGAGCGTTACATTCGCCCTAGCCGCTTCCTCCGTGAACAATGTTGTGTTCTTTTTAAGCAATCTAGTATTTAGAAATGAAGTCAAGAAAATCTTTCGAAAAAATAAGTAAATTTGTTGACATAATATACTGCAGTTATTAAAAAAAGGAAATTTAGACAATTAAGCACTTAAAATACAAGAGATGAAGGAGAGCTGGTCAGAGACATTATGGAATGAAGAGATCACAAGAAGACGTGGGTGGTAGACATTGCAGAGAAGGTGAGGAAAGCAAGATTGAGATGGTATGGACACGTAATAAGAAGAGAAGGAGATCTGGTCAGAGACATTATGGAATGAAGAGATCAGAAGAAGATATGGAGAGGTAGACATTACAGAGAAGGTGAGGGAAGCAAGGTTGACATGGTATGGACACGTAATAAGAAGAGATGAAGGAGAGCTGGTCAGAGACATTATGGAATGAAGAGATCAGAACATGTGGAGTGGTAGACATTGCAGAGAAGGTGAGGGAAACAAGGTTGAGATGGTATATGGAGACGTAATAAGAAGAGATAAAGGAGAGCTGCACAGAGATATTACGGAATGAAGAGATTACAAGATGTGGGGTGGTAGACATTGCAGAGAAGATAAATATGATAACTCATTATGCATGCAGAGTGGGATGTAATTTGTTTAGCGATAAAAAGTCAATCAAAAGTTGAGAAAATAAAAAAATTGTGTCATGTCACCTTAACAGGAGGGCTCAGATTTGAATATTGCGAGTTAACAAAATTTCCCAATTTCGTTAAGTGCCAATATTTTCCCTACTGGCTAAGACGCTGATGAATTAGTTCGAAATATATATATATTAAAACAATCAAAAACCAATTTAAAACATATATTATCATGACGCGTTTCAATTAAAATATCTCATATGACAAGTTACAAATAACTCATAACGACTTCTAAAATTAAATTTCAAACTGATTGACCGGCTTGTCGTCAATGTGTCCTGCAGATGTAATTAAAAGCATTTTTTCTTTTTCAAAATGGAAAACACAACTCACAACGGCGCTGATGGCGAAACATTTTGGGAAATATGCTATTTTTTCACGCACGAAATTATCATGATTACTGGATTTCCATCTAATGTATATTAAATAAACTTCATAATTGGACTGATATTTAATATCCTCTTGACAGTAATAACAATATTTCTGAATTCGGTGACAATCTTGGCTTACGCAAGATCAGCAGAGCTTAAAAGCAAGAAGACGTATTTCTTAATAATGTTGTTGTCTGTTAATGATCTATTCGTCGGTTTGTTTGGAAATTCGAGCTTCGTCTTAATTCTCATTACGATTATAATCGGATATCCAAGATGCAAAATGTATATTTTATTTGAATTCGCAAGTTTCTACCCGGCCGCATTGAGTATAATGACGCTTTTTGGGCTAAATATTGAACGCTATTTATCCATCTTGCATCCGCTGTATCACCGTACGAAAGTCACCAAATCAAGATTACTGAAATGGTCGTGGGGTTTTGGCTCCTCGTTATAACCATACGCTTATCTTACTTGGTTCTTGGTAGAATTATGAATAAAATAATTAGTCTCGTACTTGTTTTCATCGCTTTCTCGACTCTGTATATTTATGTCTCTATATGCATCGCAACCCGAAGACGGCTGCGGGTACCGGAAACGCGGGAAGCAGAGGGACGTGTTACGGAGGCGCGGGTACCAGCACGACGGACGAATCAAAAAGAGAAATTACAAAATATGAAAATGACTAAGTCGTGTGCTATTGTTGTTGCCATGGTTTTTGCATGTAACGTCCCGTTTGCTTTCACTTCTTCTCTACCTACAAGTAATATTTTGACGTTATTAGCATTGTGGAGTATTACTCTTTCATTGAGTGCTTCTTCATTGAATTCCCTTGTCTTCTTTTGGAAAAATCCAATTTTAAGAAAGAAAGCAAGAAAACTTTTTCGAAACATCAACGAGTAAACCAACAGAAAAATCTTCCGCTTTTGAAAGACATATGTCTTGTCCCTTCAACTCTTCTCAAGCACCTCTTAATATTTTAACAACTAAATCATCAAATTGCACAAAATCGTACAATGTACAACTACAAACTGACGTTCTAAGTATCGACTTCAGACTCCGCCATTTGGCATATATACGATATATTACTTTTTACCAGCCAGCATAGTTTGAGAACTGTTTGAAATTACTGCCTTAATTAAACGCTGGCTTGTCGCATGTTTGACCTTGATCTTATTTATATAGATATCGTTTGTATTGTTGAAGTTTTAATTGGATTTTTAAATGATAGTAGTGTTATTATCTCTCCATATGTCACTTTCAAATACAAATTAAATTTTAAATACATTAAATTAAATTAAATTAAATTAAATTTAAACAAAATGTCGGCTACCTTAGAATGATTTGATGTTGTACAGAACTCACTGCTGAGTTAAGCATGGTTTGTTCATGCAGAGGTAGTACATGTTCTTGAATGTGAGCTGCCTTAAAGTGATCTGATGTTGTACAGAACTCACTGCTGAGTTAAGCATGGTTAGGTCATGCAGAGGTAGTATATGTTCTTGAATATGAGCTACCTTAAAGTGATCTGATGTTGCACAGAACTCACTGCTGAGTTAAGCATGGTTAGATCATACAGAGGTAGTACATGTTCTTGAATGTGGGCTACCTTAAAGTGATCTGATGTCGTACAGAACTCACTGCTGAGTTAAGCATGGTTAGATCATGCAGAGGTAGTACATGTTCTTGAATGTGAGCTACCTTAAAGTGATCTGATGTTGCACAGAACTCACTGCTGAGTTAAGCATGGTTAGATCATGCAGAGGTAGTACATGTTCTTGAATGTGAGCTACCCTAAAGTGATCTGATGTTGTACAGAACTCACTGTCCAGTTAAGCATGGTTAGATCATGCAGAAGTAGTACATGTTCTTAAATGTGGAC